CTTGAAAGCTGCCTATCTGCCCTTTTCTTAAAAACTCTAGAGATGGAAAACCCACAGCTTCCATAGGTAGACTGTTCCAATATTGTATTCTGCTTACAATCAGGAAATTTTGCTTTATATTTAAATATTATATTTATATAATATTTAAATTAAATACAACTTATACCAATTTTCTCCTCCTGCTGCTGCTGTTAGCTGACTAAACTGATTACAATGCAAACACTTTTACATTATTGTATAAATAGAAAAAGATATAATCAAACCACTTTAATCTACTCCTAATATAACTAACAGGATATAAGATGTTTGTTAATAGCAAATGCCTAGCATTTTTCTAATCTGATAGGTAGATAAATAGGTCAGACACACTATGCCACAAGTCAATTACAGACACACTATGCCACAAGTCAATTACAGACACACTATGCCACAAGTCAATTACAGATTATATATAAATTATTATTTTTATATATATTTATATATGCCATTTTTCAAAGCATCCTTAAGAGAAAATCAAGTAACATATTAAATGATTAGACTTGGATAAGTATTTGTGATGATCATCTATGTTAAAAAAAACCCCTAGGTCTTAAATTTCTAATCGTACAATCCTTGCAAGCTACAGTAACATCTAAAGGGGCAGTTTTACTGCTACCTTATCAAGCACAACATTCGTGGATATTTGATATTTATTTGTGAAAGTTTGATCTACTACCCTCCCAGTCTAAAGCCCATTAATTATCCCACACTGAGTATGATCAAGAGGAATAAAGGATGCTGAGAGGCCAAGCTGGGTGTTGTTAAAAGTCAAATGAAAGCACAAGGCAAAAACAAAACCTTAAGGAAACTCAATCTGAAGAACAGCTGCCATATATATGTACATATAAACTAGGTAATATACATCTCAGTGTCCAAAAACCTGTTCCCTGTGTCCACTTAAAGCCTTCCTTGCTATTCAATTTCAACCCCTTTTCACTGAATAGATAGGACCTTTTTTCTTTGCAACAGAAACTAGGACAACAAGGTTACTTTTTTTATTTTGGAAACTTTTCAATGGTTGAGGTTTATAATAGAAGCACAGGCACAAAAGAGGTTTTCCCAGTATGGAAGTTGGAAGGGATTCACCTCTATCTATAAGTATTAAACAGAAACAGAACTTTATTAATATATCTGTCTTCCAGACCACTTATGAAACAAAGCATGAACATTTAGAGAAGCAAGAGCAGAGAGAACTGGAGAGAGTAGAGAGAACCTCCACAGAGGTTGAATTGAGTTTAGTCCAGCGTGGTTTTTCCCTGGCTAGCTGTCAGCTCTGCAGGCCAAACTTCAAAGGCATGTTTCTGTAGAAGGATTTGTAAGGGTCCCACACGTATTATTGAACTTTGCCTGCTGACTCCTTTTGCTAAAATCATTTTCCTGGCAGCCCTCAGGGCAATCTTAAGCAGAGACTGACAGTTGCATTTTCCTGTTATCTTTCAAAGCAAATTTGCATTGCTGAATTTCTGCCTTCTGCTTTTGCATTTCTCTCAGTATTGCTGGAATTCTAACTGCTCAGAACTAAAGTGCCCCTTTTGATTTTCCCCAAATAAATTTGGGATTATTTTTTTTTTGCCAGGACTGGGAAAAAAAGAAGGACTCGTACACCAATTATAACACTTTTCAATCTGCCTGAGCTTCCAGCTGCAGGACTTGGGTACAGCTAGTCTAAAGAAAAGAAGAAATAAGGGTGAGATGATAGCAGTATTCCAGTATTTGAGAGGCTGCCACAAAGAAGAGAGGGTCAAACTAAACTATTCTCCAAAGCCCCAGAGAGCAAGACAAGAAACAATGGAAGGAAATTAATCAAGGAGAGAAGCAACCTGGAATTAAGGAGAAACTTCCTATCAGTGAGGATAATTAACCAGTGGAACAGCTTGCCTCGAGAAATCGTGAGCACTCCATCACTGGAGGTTTTTAAGAAGAGACTGGACAGTCACTTGTCTGAGATGGTATAGGTTCTCCTGCTTGAGCAGGAGGCTGGACTAGAAGACCTCCAAGGTCCCTTCCAGCTCTATTCTATTCTATTCCTGTCTGCTGGGAGACTCTCTCTGTAATATTATCTGCCTGCTTGCATGAAAAAACAGTTGGGATGAGTTTGCCTGTCCAGATGAGTACCAAATATATCTACCTAAGTTGGGCCTGACAACTTAGTTTGCTCTACTGTATTCACTGTAGCTACCTCTGGTTGTGAAAGTTGGGCCTCAAACAAACAAGACAGGAAGAAAATCAACTCATTTGAGCTGTGGTGGTGGAGAAGGCTTCTGTGTATTCTTTGAACAGCACAGGTGACCAGCAAGGAAGTACTAGAGCGCATTAACATCAGACATGTCACTAGAAGGCAAAATCACAAAGTTGCGTCTCATGTACTTTGGCCATGTCATGCAGGGGAATTCACTGGAGAAAGTAATTATGTTGAGTAGAGTTAGCAGCAAAAGAAAATCAGGCCGCCAAAGAACACAGTGGCTGGATGCCATCAAAGCTGACACCAGCCAGAGCATAGAACAACTCAAAGAAGATCAGAAGATGTGGAGAGAGGTGGCCCACGGAATCACATGACTGAACAGATAACATTATCATCATGTTGGCCACTTAGGGCAGTTGAGGGATTCTGTGGGCAGATGCATGCTACGAAGCATAGCAGATGGCAAGGATCCTATACTCCATAGTGGAACTAGGGAGAAAAAGTATTGGGAATAACGTATAGAAGCAACTTGTGACCTTCCCTGCCAGCTTTCCCATTGACTTTGCCTGGGGAAAGCAAACAGGGAAGGTTGCAAATGACAGTCATGTGACTGTGGGCTACTGCAATTGCCATAAGAGCAAGTCAATTGCCAAACACTCAAATCACGATCACATGACTGTGGAGGTGCTGCGACAGCTGGAGGGTCAAGGACCAGTCATAAGTACTATTCATTCAGTGCCGTTTCTATAACTTTGAATGGTTGCTGAACTAGTGGTTACAAACCAAGAACCACTTGTATATCAGCCTTATCCTGTAGACCAAGCAGGAAATATGACCCAATAAACTCATTCTACTTTATTGTTAAAATACATTAACAATAATGTATATTTGTTAATGTATTTTAACTTTATTGTTAAAATACATTAACAAAGCTTTTGTAAATCTAAAAGTACAATTCTCCACCTTCATAACACCATGAGCAATTCTGAGCCATTGCCCCACTCATCATCCACCCATGAGCAATACTGTCCCTTATCTGACAATATCTTAGGCAGCATCTATTCCCTCCATCTCCCAAGGTCTTTCCCATATACCATTATAATGTATGTTTGGTCACGTTTTCAGGAAAGTGAGTAAATTTTGAATTTCATAGCTATTGCTATCAGAAACCTCATGGTTTGTATTTGTAATTTAAATAATGTAAAATTTTTAATTTATTATCTTCAATTATTGAGCTCAACTCCTATCTTTTCCCTCTTTCATTCATATATATACATACACACATACACACGTATGTATATATGTATCTATGTATGTATATACCTTGCCTATACAATATTTTAAGCTGCTAACCTTGGGGTGTAATAAATAAATAACAATTACAAAAAATATTTTTTCTTTTTTTACAGTTTACCAGTTCATGTGCAGTGGGTAAATCCCAGTGCAAAATACAAACACACCAGGGGCAATTGGATAATCACATTCCTTTTTCACTATCAATTTTTCTCCCACAGAAAGCAAAAAAGAACACAAATTGAAAATTGTAGCAAATAAAATGTGTATGTCAATTTTAAAAATTAATTTGCTTTAGTAATCTGAAAGATGGGTAGATGATGAATTTTGAAGCAGAGCTAACCAAGAAATATAGAAGTTGGAGCATTCTGTCCATAAGTAATAAATAATAAATGATAGTTCTTGAAATCCACTATTTTCCTGTACTTGATTTCAAAATAATAAATATTCCTACATTATTATGTTATTATGTTTAAAATTAAAAGCCTTATTGTTTGGCTCCAAAGTCTAAGTATCATGATTGTTTTAGAATGTTGAGTTATTAAATAGTATGGTTTTAAAAAAATACTTTATAAAAGCTGCTCTGAGAATTTCATTATAGGGTAATAAATGTTAAAAGAAATAACAAAGTAATGCTTGAAATAAACTAAAATCCTCTATTTTTTTACATACAAATATACTTGGGTTGGTATCAAATATGCCATTGTGCATTTATTGATAAATGTAGCTAATTCAGAGTTTTTGTTCAAGGCAGATTTTTATTTTCCACAGACAGAGAGTTCAAAAACTATACAGAACATTGGGAAAATTCCCCCCCCAAAATCTATTTCCTCATCTTTCCTTCACTGTCCTTCATACACAAAATAAATCAGGCAGCACAATACGGGTTAGACCATAATAAAGCCCTATTCAGACAAAGTGGTTCCTGATTTTCAGTTGAGAAGGTACTGATGAGGGGATAGCCACATGGTCTACTGATTTATTATTTTACCAGGAAACCCAAATTAATGTGAATTATATATAACACATATTAGATATAACTCCTTATGATAACAATTGTAATATATATTATGATGAGCTTTTGTTCTCAGGACATTAATCCTTTCAAGAAGACACCAGTGATGATGGTTAAGTGACAGCAAAACTACCACGATTCAGTTCCCATTATAGGCCCATTTCATATCACAAAAGGCACAGTGATTTGCCTTTCATTTCCAACCATTTGCATAACGTACCTGCAAAATGAAAAATAGAGAGTCTGTCCAATACTAATAAAAGAATCCCATGGACTCTGCTGAGAACCAATTTACACAGAAAGCTATTCCTATTCATTGTCTGCCATGGGCTATGTCGCTTCGCCCCATTCCATTCGGACTTGGCTGAAGGGAATGAGCACAAAAGAAGAATTTCTTTTTTCCATGCCAATATGTACCAAAGGTTTTCCAAGAACACGTCAAGGCCTTTTTTCTTTTTTTTGAACTTTTACCTTGGTACGCTAGCCAAGTAAGTCACAAGTTTCCGAAGATCTTCCTGCCTTATTCTGTCATGATTGCTGCGTGCTGGAAAAGTCAGGATGGGACCTCCTCGTTTATCACGGCCGCCTGTAACAAAGCAAACAATGGCTAGAAAATTAATCAGGAAGCACATTACATCATGTAAGCCAAAGGAAGACGGAAATGACCAAACTTCAGCTTCTTTGTAAAGATCTCCTCTCAGTTTTTTACCACTTGAGTCATTAGGGCAGCTCTCTGGCTTATTGTATACTATGAACACCTCAACTAGAAACTGGCATTATGTTAAAAAAAAAGTAAGCAATAAAAATGATGATTATTCTGTATTTTCAAACGGATGGATTTTTCAAAAGTTTAGGAGTGCCCACTAACAGCATTGGTTAGCAAGTATAAATTTCAAACTCTCCAGGTAGATAGATAGATGGTAGATAGATAGATGATAGATGGTAGATAGATAGATGATAGATAGATGGTAGATAGATAGATAGATAAAGAGAGAGAGAGAGAGAGAGAGAGAGAGAGAGAGAGAGAGAGAGAGAGAGAGAGAGAGAGAGAGATGGGGGCAGGCAGGCAGGCAGGCAGACAGACAGACAGATAGACATAGATGAGAGATGAAAGAGAGGGATGGAGGGATGGAGGGAGGGAGGGAGGGAGGAATGGACAGACAATTGGGCATTTTCTTAATATATTTGATTTTTAAATGACAATCAATGCTATTAAATCTACAGGCAAGAACTAGTCTAGCAAAACTGAGATTGACTTTTCCCTATGATGATTTGTGAAAAATCACATGAAAACTGAATCCAGGGGGAAAAAATATACTTTTCAAAAATACCAAATGTTGGTTGCTTTGAATCAACATTTAGAGAACTGAGAGCAGAGGTCAAAAAACTTATAAATTTAAAAAAAAATGAACACAAGAAACATTACCCTCACTTTGAATTGGTTTTATGACTTTTTTCAAGGAATAAAAATTAATGTGACTTTTGCATAATGTGTACTAGATATAATATATAATTGCAATATATATTATGATGAGGTTTTTGGATTCAGGTCATTATTCCTTTCAAGAAGACATCACTTAACTAGTCATGGTTAAGTGACAGCAGAACAACTACTATGATTCAGTTCACATTATAGGCCCATTTCATATCACAAATGAAAGGATCAAAATGTAATTATGTTAAGGAGACTTTTTATAAAATGATGTAATGTTGGTACTTGTCACCAGAGAAATTGTCTAGAATATATAATGGTATTTCAAATCTTTGCTGGAAACGTGAACAACATGAAGGATATTTTATCATGTTTGGTGGACATGTAAAAGCCAACAAATTTTGATGCAGATACATACATTAATCCAGAATAAAATCAGAGGTTTTTATTTTGGGACAAATGAACAGACAAAGAAAAAAAGCCATAAAACTTTATTAACTGCACCAAGAATAAATTATATATTCAAATATCACAAAATTTGATACTACAGTATGCACAATGGAAGAATGGTTGACAAAGATGATGAAACCTACAGAAATGTCTAAATTAACTTCTTTGATTAGAGAAGATATAAAATCTACATTTATGACTGATGAACCTTTATAGACTTTTTGCATGAAACAGAAAAATATGCACTTATGACTTGTGGTTTTGGTGATTAGAAAAAGATTGGATAATAGAAAAAAGTGAGGGTTTTTTTGTAATCATAGAGTAAGAGATAACTTTATAATCATATTTGTATTTATTGCAAAGAAAATCAGAAGCTTCTTTCTATTTCTTATCTCTTTTTTTGCCCTTTTTCCTTTTTCTCTTGCTTTCTTTGTTCTCTTTCATTTGTATTAGTTTTTGTTAGTTGTTATGTTTTCTTTAAAACATAACTTTTATCCCCCCCAAAATGGCAGTGATTTACCATTAATTTCTAGCCATTTGGACAATATAATTGCAAAATGATTGCAAAATTAGAAGTAGAGAATTTGTCCAATGCTAATAAAAATCCCATGAACATGCTGGAAACCAATTTACACAGAAAACCAGCCCTATTCATTGTCTGCCATGCCGTTTATTGTAAGTATAATTTGGCCCTCAAACTTTGGAAACCAGAAGTAAAATCTTTCTTAATAAAGAGATTTGTAGGAACCTGAAAGGTAATGACCATATAACAGAATAATTTGACATACAGAGTATTTAACAGGATAAAGTTGATTTAAAAACTTGCCATATATATTTTTTAAAGTACAATCTTTAGGTATACTTAATCTAAAGTTGAAGGTTATATTCATACTTCTGGCTTGGGCTGAACAACAAATCTCACCAGCTGGGTGAGCGTAATTGTTCACACATAATTAATGTTTAATCTTCATAGCAATGTGTAGCTCTTTAATAAATAGTGAATCCACTTTGCCTTACCAATGAACCAAGGGAGTCTTAATATGCAAACTGAAGTTTTAGTAACCTGGATAATAGAAATTATCCATGGAATAGAAATTATTACCATGGAAAGGACCAAAAACAGATGTCTGATATTTATATTTATCCTAATGTGCACTCATTCTTTCTGATTTCTTTACAAAATCCAATTCCTCAAATTTGTCACTCTGAACCTTAAAATCAAAATCTAAAATGGTGGTAGTGAAATGAACTAGGAAACCTTTCTTGATTTACAAATATTAAATCTATAGATATATTATTCCTGGGGGAGGGGGGAATATCAGCTAATTTTTAGAAGACATAACATTCACCTAATCCAATCTAAATAAATAACATTCAAAAGAAATGTTGAAGTATTTTCATTGGTGTATCGTGGTCATGTATCAATTACCAATAGGAAAAAAAGAAACAAATATGCTACTTTATTACTAATAGTTATTAAAGGGCAATATTGCTGCTTTTTATTTAATCCCTCAAACAAGTTTGAAAAATATTATGTTAATAAAGCAAGCAAGGCCATGCGTGATTATTAGAGATACATATGAAGATTCCAAATCAAATTGAATTCTTGATAACTACGTGGCTATGTCAACGTGGTTGGCAACCAGGTAGGAGTAATTCCCCTTTTCCTTTTCCACAATTCTTTTTGAATTCCAGTCTAACTTTCAGCCCTGGTACTTTCTAATCTAATCTTCCCCATCCAAGTACTAAAAAGGCCTTCATTCTGCTCAGGATGCTGATCACATCTCCCTTAACCTTCTCAGCTCAATAGCACGGAACAAGATCCTCCACTAAGCATAGACTGAGTCTATTTCTGCTGCATATCATTTTTACTTCTATCCTTTCATAAATTCATTTAATCTTATTTCCATGTTAATCTAATTAATCTGACTTTTAAACCTATTCAAAAATATGTATTTCTGAATGCAATTTGAGAACTAAAAGAGAATGCACACCGATTCACAAATTAGTCTGATAGATAATTCTTGAGCATTGCTAAAGTCTAGATTTCACAACTAGCCAGTTAAATAAGTGCTCTTGTCAAGTGTCGACAAGAACTCTGTAAATCAGAGTGATCTACAAAAAAAAGAAAGATATTAGTATTAATTTGCTTAGTGCTTGGATACCAAACCAGTAACTTCTATAATTTATTAAATTTTAAAAACAAAATAAAAACCAAAATCTTTTTTTAGTAATAAGCCAGAGTTTAAAGCAGCTTTCCTGTATGTAAACAGCAGGTACAGAGTGATCCAACTCTTCACATTCAGCTCTTGGTACAGATCGACCTTCCTTAACCAGCAAATTGTTTTTACAATCTAAGAACAGAAAGAACTGTAAAATTAGCTTGAGAGATATTTTAAAATGTTCAAAGTATTCTTGGGAATGTAGATATAGCAGACTGCAAAAAGAATTGCCTTTTGTGGAGCAACCATAGGTATTACTCTATTTTAGATCATTGACCTTTCCAAGTAAAAACATTTTCTTTTTTGTACCAAGTGAACACTTTTTTTTACGCAAGGACAAGGGCTGGCGTGAATGTCAGCAAATGTCATTAACAAACAATTGAATTGGAATGTAACTTTTCTGTCCCTGAGAACGGCTTCCAAATGCAATTGGTGTTATTTTCTTCTTTTTATATATTACAACAGCAGCACATTGCGTTTCCTTCCTTTTGGCTCTCATTTTTTTTTCTTATTAACAATCTCCTTCTAAATATTTCCACAAATAGATGCAGTGGTCAAAGCCAAATTTATGCATCCATTGGCTAACATTCACACAGAGTAATTTCCTAGCACATATCTTTCAAAATGGCTATTTGCCTTCTTACTAATAGTTATATCTCGTATGAGTGGAAAATTTGTGATCCTTCAGATATTACTAAACCGCCATGTGACATATGCTTGCTGGGACTATTTAGATACAATGTCATCAATGTGCAGTGAAGTTGTGAAGAGTAATGTAAGATCAGGACAGGCTGCATACTGTATCTGCCTGGGGAAGGAAAGGTAGAAATGTGTAAAACAGTGCAAGTTGAACTGTTTTGACTTTGTCATAGATATTTTGCGTGTTCAAAGTTCAAACAAGAACTAGGATTCAAGACCATTCAGAAACTACAGCTGCTCCTAAATGCAGCAGTACAAGTAGTTATAAATAAAACCTTAATACATCAGTATAATATTCCTAATAATAATATTTCCCTGGCTACCGATGGGCTTCTGGGTGCAATTCAAGATGCCGGTGCTCACTTATAAAACCCTGCATGGCATAGAACCCAGATGCTTGTAGGTCTCCAGTTATCCTTACCTGTCTGCAGAGTTGCTGATTTGGGCCCATATATTAAACAGTGTCATCTTATGGAACTCAGGAGATATTCCATCTTATGGAACTCAGGAGATATCCCTCCGGAGGCCCCAAGCCTGCTGGTCTTTTAAAAACCTCCCAAACCTGGATCTTCCTCCAGACAATGGACCAGGATGGTATATGAGCTCATTATAATTATGTAGTAAAGTAATATAAAGTAATATGCTGTCCCTGGGATAGTGTATTTTATTTTTTTTTATAGTCTACTTTTCATATTGTAATTTTTTTTAACCTTTTCTGTCTACCCAGAGTTGCTTGGTAATGGGCAGCCATATACAGTAAATTGAATAAATAGATAAATAAGAATCAGAGCCAGAACAAAACACAACAGCCTTGAATGGTATCATGGGCATGCTAATTGTTCTTCTAACCATGGAAGTTGGGCTGATTACTGACTCCTAATTGAAAAACCTAACGTTTTTTTCTAGCGAAGATTGTAGAGCATCAACATTTGATCCAGTCATATTCAGAATTCAGAACATTCAAGCCATTTCAAGAGTCTCAGGTTGAAACACAGCCAAGATGAAATGTTAGTGAAGTTGCTCTGTTCAAAACTCAAAACAAAACATGTAGGTGGGTATATATTGTTGCTGAATATACTTCAGCTTTCATAATAATGGATATAAATTCAGGGCTTTTTTTCTCATAGAACGCCCAGAACGGAGTTCTGGCACCTTTTTGGATGGAACCTTGTAGGGTAGGCAAGGCGGGTTGTATGACGTGTGTGAGTTCCGGCACCTTTTTTTTTTTTTAGAAAAAAAGCACTGTATAAATTAATTATTAATAATTGATCTATCAGATTTATATAGCCACTCATCTCACAAATGTGATTCTGAGAGGTGCACAATAAATAGTCATTTAAAATATGTAACAGTTAAAAAACAATTAGACACAAGTACAGTTAAATTAAAATAAAAAAATAAAACTGCAGGAGAATGAATTAGCATTTTACATAAAGATAGTTATTGACTAACCATCATTTGTTTAGCAACCATTCAAAGCTATGCTGGTGCTGGAGACAATGTGCCTTTGAATATCTATATATTCATATATGGATAAAAACCTTTTTAAAAAATGGACTTTGTTATTATATATGTTGACTGCAGAGAGAATTCCATATGTGCAAAAGTTGGAAATATCTGTCAATTCCCACAATGGAAGAATGGATGGAAAATTTAATGGAGCTGGCAAAATCAACTGTTTTAATTAAAGACAAAAAATGGATCCAGTTTTGTTTCCATTTGAAAACCAACTTTGTATTTGAGGACTATAAGAGTAAGACTGTAAGAGTAACAGTCTTGGGGATTTTCCATTTCTCTGGCATCCTTAAGGCTGCTGAAGGAAACAAGTTTTCAGGGATTTGCTAAATGCCAGTAAAGTCGAGGCTACTCTCACTTCAGCAAAATAATGCTCTAAGGAGGGTATTACAGCAGAAAAAAAAATAATTTTAATTTAATAATTAAATTAGATACTTAATGATAACTGGAGACCTACAAATATCCAGATTCTGTGCCATGCAGGGCTTTAAAAGTGAGCACCTCCATCTTGAACTGTATCTAGAAGTATTGATATTCCGAGTTGGTATAAATATTATATTCCTAGCATAGCTATGTCAGAGTTCCTTTCCAACAACCAAACTGAAAATGAACAAACCAAGAAAACAGGCTTCTTTAAGCTTGACTACTTAGATGTATTAAGGAATGGTCAAGGTTTTTAAACAATACTTTTGCTTTTAAATATGAATACAAATGTACATTCAAATTTAATATCTAACTTTTTTTCTCAGACATTTTTGATGGAGGGAGGATGTAACTTGTCCATTCTGAAATGTAAGCTGGCTTGCAGCTGGATTATCTGGACCCAACAGCTACCACACTTCTTATCAGTTTTAAAAAGATAGCAGCAAAGGACAGAAGGCAAAATCTTCTAAGAGAGAAGACTTTGAAGAAAATCAAAAGTGTGAAATCAAAGCACAGAGAAAGGAAGGCACTTGAAAGTAAGTACCCATATATGAAAGGAAACAGAGAGCTCATGTGATTTGGGTGGAAAAGGAGAAGCAAAATTCATTTTTGAGCTCAGGCTTTTTGCAGAGATATGCAGGACAGAATATAAAAAGCAACAGCAGATTAGGAACAATGCTCCTCAGGCACCAAATAAACCATAAAGATACATTTCCAAAAAAGCCACTGGTAATTGTTGCCTGTTACTGAGAGGCAGCATAGCTGGCAAGATTGCTATTGAGCTTACTGTGTCAGAAGTGATTGCCTTTTCAGAAGCAAGACAATTGGACAAGAGAAGTCTCAAGTGTCTTCTCTACCATCTTTTTAAAAAGAGGACTTAATGGTAACCCTTTCATTCTCTACAACCTCTGCGAGTTCAGACTATATTATCTTTAGGTAACAATTTACACTAGGACAGCATAAAATCTCCTTTCTGAACCAAAAACCCATTTACACTTCAGAACAAAATATGCAGTATTTTAAATAACTAAGACCAAAAGAAAGTCACCTGATGCAGTTTGCTTTTTTCCAAGTCTATTACAAATCGCAGAAGTAAAATTATCATTTTTTTTACCAGGATCTCTAACAAGAGCACAGCTACCAATTGAGCAATACACGAAGGACATGGGAATGGCAATTACATGAATCTTGCTTAGATGAAGCATGACCGATATCTATTAAACTTGAGCATCACTCTATTTTACCATTTTAGGTCAGTGGTCAAGGTAATTCACATAGCTTTTAAGTTGGCAATATCTAGAAGTAAGATATTGAATAATGGATCATACATGCCAAGTGTAGGATTGGATATAAATTCATAAAGCATATATACATATGCAAAAATATTCATCTTTTAATTTGTAATTAATGTATTTGAATATTCAGTTCAGTGTTGATTCCAAAGGCATGAACTTGGAATAGTGTACAACTTTTATGATTTGTCTATTCACCTTCTGGCAAAAAAAATACAGCATATCCATGTTAATGTGGAAATAAATCTCATTATTTATGCAATTATTACATGCATTCATTCAGTCAATCATTCAATTTGTACGACTGCCCTTCTCACCTAAGTGACTCTCGGCTCACAAAATGTACAATGTATTAAAATTACCTCTTGCTTTTCCACTTCAAAATGGATAATAATTAAACACAAAATAGAATAAACAGACAATTAAAGCAGAAAAGCAAATAAATAGTTAGGAATGTAAGCAACAACTATCAGTAAAAACCCATTTGAACAAAAGCCGGTTGGGATACAAACATATTTACTTGCTGCAAGGAGAACAATTAAGATGAACTTTCCCAGCCTTATTTTATCTGCAATTTCAGAACCTCAATGGAAACAGCAAATGTCCCTCTGGGGAATAAAGAAGGCCACTACTGAGAATCTTAAAATCTCAGGCAGGCTAAGAGGGAAAGAATATAATCTGTCAAATAACCTACTCACAAGTCATGTGAGTTTTATAAATCATAACCCACACTTTGAATTATGTCTGGAAACTGCTTTCACTTCTTATTCACACTATAATTAAAGGTGTGAGAGTTTGATCATCTTCTGTATTTGATCACCCAACAATGGGGATGTGTCTTTAAGACATTTTGGTTTTTGTTCAAGGATCAGCATTTACTTGCCTGTTTAATTTTTATTATCTTGCTTCACTGGAATCCTGTTTTCTCTCTTCTGACTTGACTTTTTGACACTTACCCCTTGCTTTTTGGTTATGTTATTTCTAATTTTCAACTATTCAGAGCAGAAGGAAGTTTATCTTACAGATATAATGTGAGAGTGTTGTGCAATTTTCAATATGTTGCTGTTTTCTTATTGAACTACAGCCCAACCATTTTATTTTAATTTAGCATTGGAACCGAATCTGAGGTTTGCAAAAATTCTAATTAATTTTAGTTGTATGTAGAACCATATGTCATCATGCTAAATTACAGAGAAATACAAAAGTCATTGCACAAGTTTAAAATAACTAATTATTTTTAATCCAATAACCAAATAAGAAATTGCATGTAGATTGTAATTTAATGTCAGTTTAGGAAGATATATTCTATCCTTGTACCTCATTTTGCTTGACAGGGGGGTAGGTAACCAGAGATCTACTAGATGTTTTGAATGACAGTTGTCCTATATATTGCTTCTGACCAAGCTTGGGCTAATGGGAGTTGAAATACAAAAAGTATTTTGGATTCAACAAATAGGATTTTTGTTTGAATCTTACAGTAAGTAATGATGGCAAAGATTGAACATGAGACATTATTCATTTAATCCATATCCATCATTTCACAAAGAAATTCTTCTCAAGGAGGCAAGGAATAAAGGAAAAGAAATTAAAAACAGAGTTTAAAATGTCATTAAAATACATCAGTACAACATGGCTGAAAAGTTACCCTTAGGAGTCTGCTTGTTAAAACATTATTTAAATCCAATCAATAGACCAGTGATGGCGAACCTTTTAGAGACCGAGTGCCCAAAAACTGGCCCATCCCCCGCCCGCCCCCCATCCCCTGCCCCGCCTGCCCGCAGGGCCACTTACCGCCTCCAGGGCCCGCCACAGATCACCCAGCAGCGCTATGGTGGTCATGCCCTCTGCCCGCGCCCTGCAGCATCAACTGTGCATGATAGAGTATGAAGGCAGAGTCTTGTCTATGCTGCTTGGCTGCCATGTCCTTGGCTGCACTGCTCCGCGTGGGCCATGCTCAGGGGTGACTCTCCTTCAGGGGGGCTGCTGGAGAGGAGGGTGTCGTGGGGGAGGCGAGGCTGGGGCAATGGCACGTGTGCCCACAGAGAGGGCTCCGAGTGCCGCCTCTGGCACCCGTGCCATAGGTTCGCCACCACTGCAATAGACTATTGTTTCTTTATATCTTGTGAAACTCGGAAACAAAACCATTACGTATTACTCTTTATTTCTATACTTTTCTAATTTCTGCTAGCTTTAATTAAACTTCAGAATGGAAATGAAAAGACTGTGAACTTACCTGAAACAAAGGCCACCTTTTCCTTTAGTATGGGAAGGACATCAGCAGCTTTCAAGCCGTCATTGCGGAAAGATCCTGCAAAAAAATGAAGGAAAGAAAAAAAAAAAGAAAAGAGCAATATTCAGTTAAAAGGTATTGACCTTCTGACCTTGTTTATTTCATCTACCAAATCAATAGAAAGTGAATTTCTACAGTTTGGGGTTGAAAAGATGTGATGACCTAAAAATTTGACCCATTGCAATTTTCTTCTAAAGAAAAATCTATCATTTTATCCATGAAGCATTCTGCATGATCAGACTACAGTATGATTTTCCATCCTTCTGTTACAGTATCTAGACTGAAATATAAGCAGTAGAGAGTGAAGATGCCTTCAGTTCAAGACTGATTCCTGGTGATTGTATCCATGCAATTTTATTACCAGGAAGTGGCAGATCATTCTTCTCTAAGATTTTTGTTTTTTTAAATATCACTCAAATCTAAAACTCTGGCGATATCTCATTCAAGATTAATCCTGTTTAACTTCTAAAATCAGTAAAAGTCCGTTAGGTGTTGTCCATCTGCTGAGGTAGCATGATGGCAGCTTCATTAAAAAATGAAAACAATTTCAAAAATATAAAATTATATATTAAAGTTACTAGGGGTCGCTAGGACTTCTCCAATTGTATGCTTTTATATCAACACGCTGAAATTCCAGATTTGAGAATATGAGAGATAAACCTTGAGCCTATGCAAACATCCATCAAAATGCTGTTCTCCCTTTAATATCCATATTCTCCAGCAATTAAGTTAGGTTTCCAGGGAAGCAAGGAATGTATGTAGGTAAGTGCTCTATATAGAAAGACTGGCCTGCCTGTATCCTGTGTTAAAAACAAAGATTAGAGATCAAATCACTTCTTTCTGGGAACTATCTGAATTTCATTCCCCGAAGAGCTTCTTTGGACCATATCACCTAGCTTCAGAGTGTTCTCACTGCAGTACATATAGTCCTCAACTTACAACCACAATTGAGCTCAAAATTTCTGTTGTTAAGTGAGACATTTGTGAAGTGAGTTTTGCCTCTTTTTATGACATTTTTTGCCTCAGTTGTTAAGTGAATCACTGCAGTTGATAAGTTAGTAACCCGGCTGTTAAGTGAATCTGGCTTCCCCATTGACTTTGCTTGTCAGAAGGTCACAAAAGGTGATCACGTGACCTTGGGAACAGCAACAGTCATAAATATGAATCAGTTGCCAAGAATCTGAATTTTGATCACATGATCGTGGGGATGCTGCAGAGACTGTAACTGTGAAAAATGTTCATAAGTCACTTTTTTCAGTGCCGCTGTAACTTTGAACAGTCACTAAATGAACTGTTGTATGTCGAGGACTGCCTGTACAAGTAGATGATTGCATAAATGCTACAAATAAGAACTATGGTTTATGATTTCTAACATTTCAAACATGATCATCAAAAGAAAGTAAAATGCCATATGGTAGTTACTACTGATTGGGCCTTGCCGGCTTCCTCTTCATTCATTCTTAAATAGCAATTAGACCAATAAATCATCACTTTATCCTCCCTATAAACCCCAATGAAGTTCAGGTTTCCTGTCTTTCCCAAACAAGTTGCATGTCTGCTTTCTGCCAAGGTGCATGAGTCATTTCTAGGCTGACTTGAGGCAGCTCAGCTGTTGCTTAAGAGTTGAGGGAGGACAAAATGTTGGTTGCCATGGTACAGTGAGGAGTGAATGCAATTCACGTTCCCCCTACACAATAATAACTATTCAGTTGAAATTCCACCTACACCATCAGCACAACAACGGTTATGGCAGACAAAGGAACCTATAATTTCCTAGCCCCAAAGCTAAGCAATGCTGGGCAGAAGATACGCCACTGGATTAGAAGCCATTTTTGTTCACTAGCCTGGAATGAAGTCTTTTCATCTTAAGAGTTCCCCAACAGTAGCTAACCTCTGCTTATTTTCTGTTTCTAAAGAGAAGTATTACTAAAGGCCAGCAGAGAAGGGGGGAAATCACATTCTTCCCAAATATGCTTGCTCTATGTTTATACAATTCCTTTAAAAAAGATACATTTGTCCACAATTTTTAAAGCTGTGTATAGGTTGTCCTCGACTTACAACAGTTCATTTAGTGACCGTTTGAAGTTGCAATGGCACTGAAAAAAGTGATTTATGACCATTATTCACACTTAGGACTGTTGCAGTAGCCCATGGTCACATGATCAAAAGTCAGATGCTTGGTATCTAGTTCATACTTGTGACCATTGCAGTGTCCCAGGGTCATGTGACCACCTTTTGCAACCTTCTGACAAGCAAAATCAATGGGAAGCCAGATTCATTTAACAACCGTATTACTAATTTAACAACTGCAACGATTTACTTAATAACTGTGGCAAGAAAAGTTGCAAAATGAATCAAAACTCGCTTAACAAAAGCAACGTACATTTTGGGCTCCATTACGGTCATAAGTCAAGGACTACCCGCAAAAACAGATACAAAGCCGCTAGCTCTGCAGTGGAAACTGTATCCCGTTTCATACTAAATTTGTCAAATTACCTTGAGTATCTGAAATGTTCATAATTGTGGTTTTCATGTCAAACCTCTGCCTTCCCCCCCCTTTTTCTTAATTATTACACAGTATCACTTAGAGCTCTAAAAGATGGGCTCTTAACACCAATTCTTTGAGATTTCTTTTTAAAAAAAAAAACACAAGCCAATTCCTTGTGGAAAAAGCATTAGGTAGGAGAAACACACACATTCAAAGGGCATCAGCAGACCAATGTGATCCATTTAAATGAGTTCCCTGAGTAAATGGAGCAATATCAAAAATAGTCATTTCATACAACTACAGCATCACCCCCAGTTTTACTCTTTGTGGCCCTTTATTGCTGCAATGTTATGAGGCTCAGTTCAAAATGATGACCATTGCAATGGATGAAGATGAAGAATACATGGGCATGGCTCCAGGGTATCTGAGGAGCCCGTCTCTCCTCAATGGAACAAGCCCGCCCCACTCATGCCAGCAGAAGAGGCCTGCTATGAATCCCACCTGCTAAGGAATTGAAGCAGGCAGTGTCAAGAAGAGCCTTTTCTGCTGTGGCCCCATCCCTGTTAAACGCTCTGCCAGTGAAAGTGAGAACTGGCCCCTCCTTTTGGCCTTCCAGAAGGGGATCAAAACCTGGCTTTGTTGGCTGGCCTGGGACCCCAAGGGGGTTGCTCATTGCTGGAGGTGGCTGACAGAGTAAGAAGACCTCATCCCATCCCGTCCATCTCTTAGCTTGCTTACTTTCTGTTTTTTTAAAAAACAATATTCTAATCTGTATAATTTTTAATGTTTTAATATTTTGATCTTTTTTTTACTTGCTTTATAACTTGTAACTGCTCAGAGTCACCTTATGGGGCAGATGGATGGCATAAAAGTTCAATAAGAAATAAAAAATACCAGTAGTTAACTGAATAGCATAGAGCAAATAATAACGAAAAAGATAAAATAACGAGATGGCAGACACAGAACTAACCCAACTAAATCCTTTTACAAAACAACAGGAAGGGGAGGGTGCTAACATCTAATTGTTGGAATCTCTCAGCTAATACAGAGGCGGGTCCCAATGTTTAATCTTGATTGCTGCTGAATGGTACTATCCATTTTTCCTTCTCTGAGTCTCCTCACTAACTTTCTTCTCTAACTCTTTTCAGAAACTCTCGCAAGAAAAATCTTGTCAGTCTCCTCAGTTTTTGAGGCTCAAAAGGCTGGCTTCTCAGGCTACCCGAGGTTTAAAATACTACAGGACAATCTTTCTCAACCTTGGGAACGTGAAGAGGTGTGGACATCAATTCCCAGAATTGTTTAAATTTAGAGAGGTTCTTGTATTGTTTATCTCTGAAGGAAAAGAGAGTTGGAGGTTAACTTTGCTATAAATTTGTTGGATGTATTTTTGTCACTTTTAATTTCTTTTGCTATTCTCTTCCCCTTTTCCGTTAGTTTGTATTTTCATGTTGGATGCAGAAATTTAATAAAGATATTTTTTTTAAAAAAAGAATGCTTTCATGCTGAGAATTACATTGATCCATAGGCAAACACATACAGATGAACTAAAAGTTGGAAGTAGAAATCCACTAAAGCAAAAAACATAATATATGCATGTACCAAAAGTCATGCCCTAAAGACAAAGTCAGGCTCTGTAGACCATGTATTATATAAATTATTTTAAATGCTGAAATTGGTTGCCATTTTTTCTAAACCCCTCCTTCCTTATTTGACGTATCACCTTTAAACATTCTTAAGTGTAGTAACATTTTCTCTGAAAAAGTATTAATTAATAAAACCTATTGTGTTTAGCTTATAGGTTTGACTTTTGATATACAGTACCCTATATAATTCATGTTTTCTTTACATCAAACAGCTGGATGATATCCTTGAAAAACTCTTTCAGATGTATTACGGTTTGCCACATGAGGAAATAGCAAAATGGACAGATACTCTTGGAGAATGGGCAATTTCCATGGGCAGTCACAAAACAACTATTCCCCAGCTGTCAGAATAGGTTCTGCTTTTGTGACTAAGGAAGGAAAGCTTAAATGGAAATCAGTAATACAAGCGTACAACCAACTGTGACCACTGAAATCACAACAAAGGAAATAGTTTGGTAAAGATACTTGGCTTCATTTTTGGATTTGCAAATATGAATGTACAGACCATTTTACATCACAGTATCTCCATTTGTTGGCCAGCTGTTTCTAATCCCATTACTTCCTGTACAGCAATTGCATTTTAAACAAGAGACATGTCTGGAAGTTTCCCTCCAAGTACTGCATACATGCATATGTTTTGCACAATAAATTTCCCACCTACCTTTCCTGCCCATGCTTATCCTCAGCAAGGATTTTGCAGAGCGCAAGCTGCTCTTACTCAAGAATAAATCAGACAAATGGAGACTCTTACTTTCATTGTCAGATGCTAAAATTCAGCCTTTGTACAGCCTTTGTACAAAATGGAACCATATCCATCTGGCTTTCTATGTCTCTTAACCCTCTTAAAAATATTTTAAAATATTAATTAACTTAATTTCACCTGGCTA